AATTTCTTATAGTTGGCTGGTAATAACCTGATCTCAAGGGCTGCAAGCAGGCAGTCAGTATTCTGCTCAAGGCAGTTAGTGTTTGCAAAACCTGAAAGAAATTGAATTTTGATATTGAGGAAACTTTAATTAGAGCCTTTTTAAAATACAGTGTATGTACTTTCTAGTCCTATCTTGAATGCAGGCTTTTTAATTTCTTTAATGTATGACATTCACCTAGGCTTCTGGGCCTCATAAACATTTGACAGTAATATTTTTTTCTTGCATTTTGAGGAGCTTAGAGCAATTGATCAGTTTTATAAATGTATAAATTGCAATCTGGAAGTTGATAAAGTGAAATCTTTAGGGCAACAGAGAGAGATGTTTGCAGATATTTAGCCATTTCACTAATAGGATTTTCCCCTACAGCTAACAAGGGATGGAAAATAGTGGGTATACTTTTTGCAGGCTCATAGTTTGCATCTTCAAAAAGGGAGGCAGGCATGAAGATCTGCTCTCATTTTTTCACTTGTTGGACAGGAGTTTGACTGACTAGCCTGAGTTTAGAGGACTACTGGACAAAGGATAATTTCCATTCTCCACAGATTTCCTAAAGCCATGATTATATGGCTTTCCTCCTGCCCCCTGGCGTTGGCTCTGGATTTAGGACCCAGATGCCTTGTTTTGGGAGGGCAGATGCCTTCTTCCGGGGAGGGGGGGAGGAGGGAGGGATGACCTACCCTCAGACTGACCACAACCTTTCCTTTCAATAATAGGCAAATTTTCTGATACACAGTGATAACAGAAAAGAAACAATACAAACAATCAATCAATTCTACAGTTACCAATCCTAGGGCTCTCATCAGAGTCAAGATGCATTTGGCCAGGACTCAGGCTTCACTCCTGAGGTTCTCTCTTGGGTGTCAGATGTTAGCAGCCTGGAGGTGGGATGCCAAGGCCACCCCCAGTGGGGTGGATGAGACAGGCTGGTGGTATGCCCTCTGTCCATGGTGGCCTCGGGGACCCCTCCCTGGGGACAGGGATGGGTGACCCTCTCAGGGAGGAGGAGGATGGGGAGGAAGACCTGGGCCCTTTGCTGTTCTCAAGTCTCTGCTTTTGTAGTCTTTCCTCCTCCTGATGACTTTTCATCTGTGACTCTCGTTGATTGGTCTCTCTCTGTGGTCATCACACTGTCCATGTCGTGTGTTGTCAGACAAAATCCCATTTTCATAAACCTATCACATGCCCACATCCTAATTTGGGGCTTTACTGGTGTCCTAATTTGGTCTGTTCCCCCAAAACCAGAAAACTCCGCCGCGCCGCTCTGGGGCCTTGTAAGCTGGTGCCACTTTATCTCATGTTATGGAACAGTGTGGTACATGTCCCCAATTTCCCAGGTTGTATGTGTATCTGTTGGCGTTTGTTGTGTTAAACAGCCTGTCTGCTTCTGAAAGCTCAGAAAACTGTATGAGACCCAGGCTTTTAGGAATCAATTAACCCCTGCTGCCCACCGTGAACTGTTCTAATGAATATATATATTCATTAGAAGTCAATTCCCCAAAAGCAAAGCTTTAAATACTATTTTAAGCCACCACCTGCATCCACTACCAACAAAATAAGGCCTACCCATTTACTCCTGCTGCTACATATCAGAGGCTGGCTGTTAGATAATGCAGATGGTTATGGGGTGGACCTGAGTAGTTTGAGGTTTTGAGCTGCCTCCCCCTCCTTTTCTATTGCTCTTGGGCTCCCTAACAGGGAACCTAAGCATGGCCCTCAGGCACATGTCCCAATATAAGTGCACCTCAAGCCAGCAGTACAGTTAATTTGGGGCCTGTGTACTAGAGGAAAGGCATAAAGACCAACAGCTATTTACAGCTTATTGATTCTCTGTCACAGCAGTGGCACAAGCTGAGGACAGCCCATAGGATATTCTGCTTTGCATTAGCGAGTGAAGATCCCCCTGAGTAGCACCCCTCCATTCCAGGTTCAGTCAGGAGCTCGACCAGGAGTTCGCCCAGGAACTGGCTGAGGCCGCATGCTTCAGGATGATGGGTGTCATAGGTGACCTCAATTACCCAGACATCTTGTGGGAGGATCATTCAGCAAAATCCGAGCGGTCGCAAAGCTTCCTATCATGTGTGGATGACCTATAACTGACTCAAGAAGTCTATGGGCCAACAAGAGGTAAAGCGCTGCTCGACCTGGTACTGGCTACTGGGGATGACTTAATTGGTGACCTAGCGATTGATGGGAAGCTGGATGGCAGTGACCACGAGCTGATCACCTTCACCATCTGCCATAAAGAAGTCCTTGACTTCAGGAAAGCCGACTTTGACAAGCTCAGGAGGCTTGTCAGTGAGGCCCTAAGGGACCGTGACCCCAGAGGGAGGGGAGTTCAGGAAGAGTGGTTTCTCCTCAAGGGAGCGATCCTCAATGCACAAGCTAATTCTATTCCATCTCGGAGGAAAGGCAGCAAGAGGGAACAGCAGCCCCCCTGCCTCTCCAGGGACCTAGCAGACCTCCAGAGGCTAAAAAGAAAGGCATACAAAGAATGGAGGATGGGATTCGCCTTCAAGGAGGAATATTCTGCACTGGTCCGGTCCTGCAGGGAGCAAACCAGGAAAGCCAAGGTTACAACTGAACTCCAACTAGCTTCGAGCATCAAGGACAATAACAAGTCCTTTTTCAGATATGTGGGGAGCCGGAGGAAAAGCAGGGGCAACATTGGACCCTTGCTGAACCAGATGGGGCAACTGACAATTGACGCCCAGGAAAAAGCCAACCTATTAAATAGGTACTTTGCGTCAGTCTTTCATCAGTCCCATGGGACGCCCATGCCCGCTACAGGGCCGGG